TCCCCCCCCCTCCCCGGCCCAATTCTGCATTGCCTGTCTCTAGCAAGCATGTCATTGCTAGAACCACTCTGGCAGCCACGTCTGCGAGCTAGAAAAATTTAATGCAAATTGCTAAGCATGTTGGACACCTTACTACTCCCTATACCACACCATGGCTGGAGTGCAATGTGTTCCAGCAAAAATAGTGCACATCTTTATCAAATTTGGTGCATCCTGCTAGTTCGGTACACAGCCTCTGTAGATTCAATAATATTTTTAATTCAAATAATGTATGATTTCCTTCCTTTCGAATCAAGGGGGTAATGTCGGCGTATATAATTTTTTTGCGGGGTAAAAGGTAAAAAAGTTCCCTGACCTCTGCTGTAGAATAATTTATATTGTTTGGAAACATCCTTAAAATCCGTCCCAAATGGATGGGCAGCAGCAATTGTTTCCTCCTTGACACTGTGTTAACACACATCTGAATGCTCCAGACCAGCAAACTACTAAAACACAGGCTTTCATAGAGGTAGTCACACTTGTTGATGATCAATTACTCAAGGTTATTTGGTTAGCAACACCTGACTGTTACTTAGCCTCTTAATTTCTATGGAAACAGTAAGGGTATACTTTGTTTTTCACAAATGGTTTCTCCATTTTGGCCTTATTTTTGTTAAATAAATCATGACATGGTATAATATGTCATGTATGTTCATCTGAGGTTGTATTTATGTAATTTTCAGACCTGTTAAGGACCCATTGATTTTTATATGATACGAAAAACTATAGAATTCAAAGAGGATGTACTTTCTTTTTCACATGACTTTATATATATGAACACTAAATAGTTTTGAATCAGTGTGGGACATATAGGGAAATCAGGATTATTTACTAGGTGAATACATAATGATTTTGAAATGCACAATGAATAAAGTCCCTGAACATTTATGATTATTCATTTTTCTCTGTCTAAACAAATTTTTTCTGATGAAAAATAAATTGGTGGCTGAATATACGACTATACAGCCAACTTAACCCAAACTGTAGGACTTCTTAATTAGTGATTTATCAAACCAAATTCAGTATACTGTGCATGGTTTACAACTGACTAAAAGTCCCCAAAGCTTGTTGCCTTTTTCAGAATGAAAAATCATGCATGAATGGAAGATATCTAGTGCAATTCATGAGAATTATGAGTTCAATCTATGCAACAGGATTACTGCAAGCTATGGTACATATGATTTACAATCCAGCATACATCTGATGATTCACACTCATGATAATTTATCAAGATAAGTGTTTATACACTTGTTTTATGCTTACAATTTTAAAAATCAGATTTGCTGTGATTAACATTTCATTGCTCTATTTCACATTTATTTTAGTTTTATAAGTGATATGCTTAGAAAATTTGAACTTAAGTTCTTACAAAATATGTCAGGTCCACAGAAGTTCATCCGATCACTTATGGTTGCTTTAGAGTGTCATTGGATCTAGAAGGATAAGGCAAAAACAGCTGTTAATAAATTATGTATACCCTAATTTGGGAATAAGCCTCTGTAGGGACTCTTCTTCCTTCTTCTACCCAGTCTGTCCAACCACCAAATGACATCCACCCTCCAACCTCTTCACTAAATTAGGGGTTGCCATTTAACTTGCAATAGGGACTACTTCCCCTGGAGAATCGCTTTCACCAAACCAAGGGAACACACATGTTCCCTTTCCATTACTGCTTAGACACTGCCACAGCTTAAGGACTGAATTTCCATTGCCCCTTTTAAAGGAGTAAGAACACTTTTGGTGAAACATACAACTTATTTTGGTGGCAAACATATGTAACACATATGAGAACATATCTACAATTATATATATCAGGATTGTGTTGGAGAGAAAGTGCAGGTCGGTTTAGCTGCACTTAGCTTGTTAGATGAGTTTAGTTTTGTTTAAATTTGAGTTAGAGAAAGAAGGAGCTGTTGGAGTTTTATTTCCAACCATGCATGCTGCCTCTGCTTTGAATGACTGGGAAGGACTTTTCTGGGCTGGGGTGACTGTCAATCTATTCGACACTAAACCAATCCTTTAAGTAATTACATGTTTTATTTCTTCTCCTACAAGTGTCTCAGATTATAACCTTAAGTGCCAATTAATAACCTTGCTTGCCACTTAATAAGAAATGGATGAACTATCTGAGGAACTTGTAGATCTTCTCCTCTGTGAGTCTCTATTTCTACTGTGTAGCACATGGAATTTTACTAGAAATGCAACAGAGTTTGGGCCCAGAAATCAGAGAAACAGACATACAGCTAAAAAGCAGTTTTGAACTTTGTTGTTTTTCAAAGTGTTTGCAATTGTCTCCCCAACTCCATTTTAACAAAATAATAATAATAAAAAACAAAAACAAAACAACAAATAAACAACAAAAACAACAAAAAACAACAAAAAACCACAAAACAACAGAGTGCTGTCCTCTGAAGATGCCGGCCACAGAGACTGGCAAAACGTTAGGAAGAACAACCTTCAGAACACGGCCAAAGACCCCGAAAAACCCACAACAACCATTAGATCCCGGCCGTGAAAGTCTTCGCGAATGCAACAACAACAACAACAACAACAACAACAACAACAACAAACCCTTATAACTGGCTGAAGAGAAAGAGTTATTTCTTTTCTGAGATTGCTAATCAAATTTGCTCAGAGGAAAAATGAATCTTGATCACAGCAAGGAATTTTTCGGGGACAATAGTAGGGACACACGTCACAGTCAATTACACAGCTCCTGTAGGATTGCCTAAGAGATTCCTCAACTGATAAGAGCTGCACTAGTTTTAATCAAAAGATCTAAGGAATTTTAGAAAATATGTGAAGAGAGGGGGGGGGAAAGGAAAGTCTGGAAAGGAATTTCAACAAAATTCATGAATAGCCCATAACTGTGAAAAGAAATCTAATTACTAGATCATTGATTCAGAGTGCATCAGTCATTGTACACATTAGAAATAGCATAGGCATCCTTCAGTCTCGAGAGACTATGGTAACATGCTCTGAATCGAGGAGTGTCCTCTCCAGAGCATGAAGCCCAGGTAAGGTAATATGGAGGATAGGCTGTTACCCAAGCAGCAGATCCCCCCTCTCCACATTGCTGAAATGGTCCAATGGAAAGGCAAGAGCCAATACAACTGGTTCCAGCAATGTCGCAGGAGTTGGCAGAATGACACATGCAGCCTTCGCGACTCCAGCTCCGGATTTTGCCTCGAGGGTAACTCCTGAAGCCTTTTCCATGAGTGGATATAGCCACAAGGCAGTGGAGGTTTGAAATCGGAGTTTTCCTTCTCCTAGATGGGCTGCCTTCCATGGCTGATGAGCCCCACCTACCCGGTCTGCACTTTAATAGTGCAAAAGTATGATCTGATCCTTAAAACTTTCCTGACTCCCCGGCTTATGCAAATCTAATTGGATTTCCTATTTACCATATTAAGGCCAGATACAAAATTTGAGAAGCAGGAAGTCCCACCCCTAGGCCCCACCCCCAGGCCATGTGGTCAGGAGAGAAGAAGAAAGCCCAGGGAAAAAAACTCAGCAACTCATAGGTAAACTCTTGTACTTCACAACCTCTGCAAGAGCAGATATATTATAGGTATTGCTGTAAGAATACTAGACAGAAGACTTAGTTTGTCAACACAGAGTGATTGGACAACTGTAGAAAGTGTAGCTAGATATTTGAAAAGAATAAGCTTATGGAATCAGCCCAGAGCAGAAGTATGTCAGGCCTCTTCCCTCTCATGTTCCAGGTGCCAAAGTGTCTAGAGAGAAAATTCAGATGATCAAGCAGAGAGAGTGAGATTTGTGTACCTTTTGTGACCAGGCCTGAGTGCCAAATCACTGATACCAAGAGGTTGAGTATCAAAACAGACAAAGCAGTTTTCTGTCTTCTGTCTGGGTTTCCATGTGGCAAGATAACCTGAGTGAGCAATGCAGAAGAGATATTTTTGTGGGTGAGGTGTCTTTAAAGCCTAAGCACCCTTCCCAGCTGGCACCCTGGATCACTAGCTCCGTACAAAGGTCTGTATTGTGTGTTGTGCTTCTTTCTCAGCCCTTGCCTGTCTCTCTTCTGTAGAGGACAAAGGAATCCGTCCTCTGTTCTCAATTTTGGTCCTTGACACCATGGGCAAAATTGGATACTGCTGGTTTGGCAGACCTCCTGAGCCGAGCATCCTCTCCCTCTCTCTCTTCCAGGCCTTGTCCACATCACCTTAGGGCCCACAGAGGATAAGCAAGAAGGAAGAAGGGAGGGGAATGAAGCCTTCTTCCACACGTTTCCTTACTAACCCTCCTCTCAAACGAGGCAACATCCCAAGGACCCTTCTTCTCTCTCCCTTTTTCCGATATGGGTCGTGTATATGACCCCTTCAGGCTCCGCTACAGGGCAAGCGAAAAGGGAGGGCGCCCGAGATTATTATTATTGTCTGTTTACGGCTCGAGCGCGTCCTCCGAGCGCACGGGCTTGCTTTCTCGTCAAGAGAGTGGTGGCGTGTGAAGCACGCGTAACATGCTTTTTTGTTTTTTTTTTTTAAAAAAAACAGCAACACAGCGGCCGCGCGTTGTCAGGCAGACCTCCTGAAGGTGGGAACGGGCTGGCTGTGGAGCGGAGAGCTTTCCAGCCACGCTTATTTATTCGGAGGTGGAGCAGCACTTGCGCGGTGCTCCTGGCACCGACGCGGGGAGGCGGGAAGGCGGGAGAGCGGCCGCGAGCGAGCGAGCGAGCGAGCGCGAGCTGGTGGGACAGGCTGAGGTGGGTGGAGGGGGCGGGAGTCGTACGTCGCCTTCGGCGGAGACGCTCCGGAGCGGTGGCGCTTTTTCGCTCTCTCTCTTTCCCCCACCCCACCCCCAACGTCTGCCTGTGGCTTAGCCCGGGCGCATCCCAGCCTTTGCAGGCAAGGCGTCCCTGCCTATCACGCGCTTTCTCCCTCGCTGCTGCTGCCGCCTCCGCCGCGGGCGCTCGCCTCTCGCCTCTCGCCTCTCGCCCCCCTTCTTCCCCCCCCGCCCCAGCCTTCAGGGCAACAGGACGGCGGGTGGCAGCTGAAAGGAACAGCGACCGGGTCCAGGCAAGCGCAGCGGCTGCAGCACCGCCGACCTCTTCCCTCACTCCCGACGGCACAGGTAGAGTCCTGGGTGAGTAACGAGCCAGTCGGAGACTCCGGCCTCCTTCCCGCCCTTGCGTTCACGGTCCTCGGGAAGATGTAGCAGCAGGCTGTTGAGCAGCCGCCACCGGGCATGCCTGACAGGTTTGCAAAGCCTGAGGCTTCTGGGCGGGAGAGAGGGCGGTTGGAGGAAGAGAAGGAATGTCGTGCTCCTCGTCTCCGTTTATACTGAATGCAACGAAATATTCCCACCGCTAACCGTGGTCTGTGGGGTCTTGCAAAGTTTGCCTCTCCTGGGCTTTTCCCCTTTTTTGGTGTCTGTCTCTCTCTGTGTGTGTCTGTGTGTGTGTGTGTCTGTGTGTGTGTGTGTGTGTGTGAAACGCAGGAGATGCAAAACGAGCGACTTGGTGATGTTCAGGTAGAATGGAAAGCGTGAACCTTCCTTACGACTGCCTTCCCCCCCCCCCCCGCCCCTCATATATTCTCTCTTAGGCTGAAAACAGTCATGACAGCTGAAAAGACCATTCCTATAATTAATGGCAAACCAGAGGATGCTCTGGATCCCGAAGCCTCAAGTACCAACTTGGTCCACAGCAACGATAAGAAAGTGCATGAAAGAGGGCACTGGAACAACAAAATAGAATTTGTGCTTTCGGTGGCAGGGGAGATTATTGGGTTGGGAAACGTCTGGCGATTCCCATATCTTTGCTACAAAAATGGAGGAGGTAAGATGGCATCTTGTGTAAATTCATCCACGTGCTCCGTAACTTACAGTGATGGTGGTCAGGATGATGTTACAGTTTGGTTAATGTGAAGAGCAAAGCATTTTATCATAATATGTGAGGGTTGTGACACCTGTGGGAATGATATGCTCAGTGTGGTAAGGAATTCAGTCTAGTTTATATATATATTAACTTCATATCTGATATTTGCTGAGGTATGTTGTCTCAATGGAACTGAAAATCAATGTAAGTTCATATGTTACTTTTGGAAACATTTTTATTCTCTTAGTGGTAGAGATTAATTTGTACTCTTAGATATACATTTGAAAGCTTGTCACTGGTGAGTACTGTAAGCTCTGGACAAATCCATTTGTGTTCTGTTCTACCAAACATTTAAAAAGAGAAAGAAAGAGCTTTCCTAGGTCAGTATTCTGCTTCGGCAGACTGCTGGTGAAAAGTTAAATTCTGATATTGACGACTTACATGGAAATCCAGCATTTTTAGAATGCCACGTATCTGATAAAGTATTTTTGGTTTTTTTACGTGGAACAAAGAAAATCTGAGTTCAGAAGGAAGAATATTTGGTTAAGCCTTTGACTTTAATTTTTTACTGAGGGGATGTGCATCTCTTCAAATGATCTATGAATCCAGAACTTAGTGGCCACTGAAAATATGATTCAGTCAAAGTGAAGTGGGTCTTCTTCAAAATGGTCTGATGTGAATTGGACTGAAGCCTTGGATGGATCACTGTAGAATTTATATCTTCTGGGGCTAACTGTGGCTCCTGTGAAAAGAGCCAACCTATGTGGCCTTGGGCAAGCTGCACAGTCCCAGGATGCCCCCAAAAGAAAGGAATGGTAAACCACTCCTGTGTATTCTCTGCCTGGAAAACTCTGAAAAGGGTTACCATGTCAGAACTGATTTGAAGGCACATGATTTATTATTTATGCTCTCTGTACATGTCACAACTGATTTGAAAGCACATGATTTATTATTTATGCTCTCTGTAAAAGAAAAATCCAGGCAGTGGGGAGGGAGAGGAGGTTGGAGTAGAGTGGTCTGAGGGTTGTTTGTTCTGTTTGCCAACCAGGGCTCTTCCCCCCCCCTTCCAAGTCACAATGTTTGATTTGGAGAAGAATGCAAGAGAAACATCCATTGGTATCACTTGAACAGAAAATCAAAAGCCCAAAACTTTGTCTACTGTAACTCTTAAATCTTGCACCTATCCTTCTGAACTTCTGAAGATGACATCTTAACGGTGTACCTGCTGTGTCTGGTGTTTGCATAAAGATTACCCAAACCACTATGACAGTGGCAGTCAATTCCTCTTTCCAATATATGAAGACCCCCTCTCCCCTCAAATAAAAGACTCTTCGTCTATCCTTCTGGCATATTCAGATTATGTATCTAGGGGCACTTATATGACAAGATGATATTTTGATACTAGCTTACCATAACCCTATTTGAACACTGGGAACAATTCACTCTCTTTTAAAAGTTAAGGATTTTTATAGTACAGTCTCCTACCCATCTGAAACCTGGCAGGCTTTATTCCTTGGGATGGATGGTTATACCAGAATTTCATCCAATTCTGCTTGGTAAGGGTGAAGTTCTCAGTGCTTCTTCTATGAAATCCTCGCTCACATTGTAAAGCAGTGAAACGGGGAAACCCTGTACTCACTTATCTGTTTTTTGACAGGCTTCACCCACTCCAAATCATGTACTGTGTATAACAATCCATCTATTTATGTTAAAAAGTAAAAGTATTATTGTCATCTGTCAATGGGGATATATATATATATATATCCCACTTGTACCTGAGGATTCAAATGGAGCCTTGCATTCAAGGCATCTCCTCAATTTTTATGAACCAGCTGGTCTTCCTTCATGGCACAAAATAGTATGGCACCATCAGATTTAAATGACTTTTAAATATGGTTATTTAGATGAACTTTTGGAGAGCTCAGTGGCTTAGTAGTTGAGAGTTCAGTTCCCTGCTGTGCTTCCTTTTCAGGGGCTGGACTTGATGATCCATCGGGTCCCTTCCAGATCTGCAGTTCTAAGATGATGATGATGATGATGATGATGATGATTCTCCCAAAAGATCTGTCATAAGCTTTCTTTAGTTAGTTACCTTTACATCCTGCTTTTTTCTCTCTGACAAGATCAAGATGGTGCACAAGGTTTTTCTCTTCCCCACTTTATTCTCATAGTAGGTCAGGCTGGCAGACAGTTATTGGTCCAAGGTAGTTTCTTTCATCCAGTGACTTTAATTGCTTAGTGAGGGCTTGAATTGTGCTATCCAAAACCCTAGCCCTACAATCTAACCATTATATTGTGGTGGTTTTGTAATGGCAATAGTCGGAAATTTAACCACCAGCAGTTTGACAAAAAAATTAAATGTGTTTATAACCCAAAAGTGTGTACTGTGTCTAAAGATCCATCAAATTATATTAAATTGTTTTGCCTGTGAAATTGTGGCCATAATGTTTACAAAAGGAAAAAGCTTTGGATGCTTTGGACACTTAGTGCTGCTTTGAGTTTGCTGGATTTTTCCTTGTTTTTCTTTGAGTAGTGCCTATGAAAACCATGCTCGTGCCATATTCAGATGCTTTGGAAACTGTTTTAGCAGTATTTGCCTTGAGAAAAACAAGTCTTGAGTATTTAGAACTCTTTGCATAGTTCTTTGAATCTTGGCTGTGATGTTAAAGACAGTGAATTGCTACGGGGCCATAGCATGGCAGTGCCAAAACCTCATTAATTGAAGGGAGAAGATATTATAGTGGTTTCAGGCCAAAGAAGGGAGAAATGTATTAAAACAATGCTCAACTCACAGAGTTTTGATGCCGTGTCGAACATACCTCATGGTGCAGCTATAGTGAAAATGTGATCAATGCAGGGAAAATACACTTTGTGAACATTTTTAATATTCCCTCAGAGTTAAAAGGCTACCATCCTTTGTGCACACCATTATATGCAAGAACTGATTTCCAAGTTGATATGTATAGATTTGAGCATTAAGGCACTGGAACCACACAATCATGTATCTGAGGGGAATGTTGGGCTTATGTCTTGAGAACTCTTCTATACCATACAGTGCCTAGGTCAGGATATGGCATAATGGGTTTGCTCTTCAAAGAGAGAAAGCAATTGAAGGCTGAAATTCAGTTCTTAGTCTGACTTGTATCAATGGGACCTGGGCAGGGTAACTTTATATAAGCTGAGGGATTTCATTTGTAAAAGAACACGAGAGAAAACTGTGTATCAAGTAGTGCAGAAATGTTGTCTCTTCTGCCAATAGCCCTGGCTTAGAATCTTTCCCCTTTTTAGTGTATCAAAATGAATTTTGCCTATTTGGTTTGCTACAGTTCTAAAAACTTGTACTATGTAGGTGTGTTTGCTTTTCTCAGTTGCCTTCTGTTGCTACACAGTATCAGAAAAGCAAGATGAAATGAACTCTTCTGTCTTAGCCAGGATTCTTTTGGATTCCTTCTTGTCTTTCCTTATTCTCATTACATGACAAAAAGAGCTGGATAAGTTTATATGCTAGGTGACCAAGAAAATCCTTCCTACTCCCATTTATATTTATCAGGGAAACATAACATACTTGTAAATTAAATTTGAGAAGCTCCATTGTGGTTTATTTGATTTTAAAAACATACTCCCCCCTTTTTTTAAAAGAGTGTGCTACTTATATATCACCCCACAGTGCTTAAAGCTCTCTCTGGATGCTTTACAATTTAATTATGAAGAATACACATTGCCCCCACCCCGTAGCAAGCTACATACTCAATTTACTGACCTTGGATGGAAGGCTGAGTAAACTTCAAGACAACTTCCTGGGATTGAACCCTGAACATGAGCAGAGTTTGGGCTGCAGTACTGCAGTTTTAACCTATATGCCATGAGACGCTTTAATAATTAAGGTGGTACACTTTGTATTCAAAATTTCATTTTTCATCATTATTTAGTTGAGTGAGGAAGTGTTGAAGTTAAGGGCAATATAGCATTTTATTAGCACACATTTAATGAAACACACAAAGTCTGTCCCCATATCATTGTTACAATCAGAGAATCAAGTGAGGGGGGAAAAAAAAGGCTGAATTTAAGGCTTTTTTTTTTAAAGAAAATTTCTGATAACCAGATTTCTGCACAGTTCAACAAGCAGCATTTATATTTATTTTCTCTCTCACAATATGCATATTGTGAAACTTTTGTTGACATCACTTGGTTGGCTATGAACAAAATACACAGATTTTGCTCAAATAACTTGGGTATTGACATCAGTTTAGCATTCTTTTTAACACAAAGCTTTTAACATGAAACTCGATCTGAAGCATGTATTGAAACTTGAAGATTTCACATGAAACAGAGGTCTCAAACTCTCTCTTTCTGCAGACAAAAGCTTCGTTTGGACTGAAGTAAATCTAGAGCTCTGACACTTTTGTCTCCTGTGGAATCTACCACTTCCATCGTATCTTGGTGGCAGTCTGGTTTCCATTGTTAAGCCCAAGCGTTATACTGTTTGGCTGTTCTTGAACTCTAAAACACTATTTCTTTGTAATTTTTTCATCCCTCTTGGAAGGTATTGCTCAGCCAAGATTTTGGCCTTCATGAACAGATCACACAGCTATCATTACAATTCTATAGGAACACTAAAAATGCCCTATAAAACAATGCACTCATTGGCAGAGTCTTTGTCAATGTATAATCTGTGTGAAGTTAATGTTCATGGTTTTGCTAGTAAATACAATTTGGTGATTCAAAATGCTTAATACCCATGTCATGTCGTGTTACCTGGCTGCTTGTATTGATATTCTTGTGTTTTATTCACCATAGGGTGTGAAGGACTTTGCAATGTGAATGGTTTTAATGAACATATATATTAAAATACTTGTGAGCCACATTTTAAAGACTGGAAGTGGAATACAAGGGTCATGATTGTAATGGTTACTTTTAGATCAAAATATGAACCTGATACATCCATCAAATAATACTAAGAGATAAGAAAAAATTGAAGCAAAGTTTTTTGCATTCAGAAATTAACTATGAAAATTGAAGGCCATTTACATTTTTGTTTAAAGGAATATTCTTTTGCATCATGTTATTTGAAATAGAATATTGTTTGGAGTTACCTGTAATTTACTAATACAAATGCAACGTTTGCTTTTAGGTGCTTTTCTCATACCTTATGTGATTTTCTTTATTTGCTGTGGAATACCTGTGTTCTTCTTGGAAACTGCTTTGGGACAATTCACTAGTGAAGGAGGTATTACATGCTGGAGAAAAGTTTGTCCATTGTTTGAAGGTACACATTGCACACTCTTCTCTCTTTCTTGTTGTGACAGTGTGTCTGCAAATGTGCCTAGTTTCAACACAAACACATATACGTTATTTATTTTATTTATTTATTATTAGATTTTTATCCTGCCCTTCTAGACAGGAATCTACTCAGGGCAGCTCACAATATATTGTGCACAAAACAGATTTAAAAACAACAATTAAAATTTACAATAAAAATATAATCAAGATGGGAAGATAACAATAAAAACCAAGAAAAGTGGAAATCAAATATTAGGAGGAGGGAAAGCCTGCCTGAAGAGCCTAGTTTTTAATTGGCTCTTAAAAACACCCAGTGAGGGTGCCAGGCAGATCTCTGGCAGCAAGCTGTTCCAAAGTCAAGGGGCCACTGCCAAGAAGGCCCAGTTTCTTTCTTTCTTATTTATATATATATATTTATTTATTTCTATATATCCCGCCTATCTGGTCAATTACAACCACTCTAGGCGGCTTATAACATAAAATACTCAGATAAATACAAAACGGATTATTACGTAATACTGTAAACAGATTCTTGTTCTTTCTTTCCGGGCCTCTCGTGGCGTCAGGCCCCTCAGCTGTCTTTTCCTGGCTATAGTGAGTGACTTGGGATAAGGCGTTCTGCTAGATGTCGAGGTCCTAAACCGTTTAGGGCTTTGTATGTCATCATTAACACTTTGAAGTCAATGCGGAAACTAATGGGCAGCCAATGCAAAGCAGCCAGAATGGGAGAGATATGCTGGAATTTTCTCGTTCCACTAAGTAATCTGGCTGCCGCATTCTGCATCATTTGAAGTTTCTGCATCAATCTCAAAGGTAGCCCCACATGATCCATTGTGTTGTAGGCTGCTCTTTCTTCCTTTCACTCTATATCCCAGATACTCTCACCTGTTCACAGAGCCCAGACAACCAGTTCTTCCTTACATTTTGGAAGAACTGGAAATATTTAACCTTAAGCAAAGAAGACTGAGATACGAAAGGATTTTTCAAATACAGTGGTGCCTTGCTTAACGATTTTAATTGGTTCCAAAAAATTCATCGCTATGGGAAAAACATCGCTAAGCGAAACGCGTTTTCCCATAGAGATGCATTGAAAACCGGATAATCCATTCCAATGGGAACGGATTACCGTCCTTAAGCGAAAATTGCCACAGGAAACATCGGTAAGCGAAACGCAGTTCCCCCATTGGAATGCATTGAAACCTTTTCAATGCATTTCAATGGGGGAGAAAAAAAATCACCAAAAATTCAAAAAGAGTCAGAATGAAGCCAAATTTGGTTAACAAAGGGTTTATTAAGTGCACTAACGATTTCAAGCACTCTAAACCCTTTTTAAACAATTTAACACCTTTTAAAAATAGCGAAAACAGAGCTGTCAAAAACATCGCTAAGCAAAACAGGGGGATCTAAACTGTCATCGCTAAGCGAAGCAAGGTCCCGAACATCGCTATGCGAAATTTCCCCATTGAAAACATCGCTAAACGGAGCGCAAGATCACTCAAAAAAACTCATCGCTAAGCGAATACATCGTTAAACGAGGCAATCACTAAGTGAGGCACCACTGTAGTTGAAAGATAGTCATATAGAGGAGGGGCAGGATCTATTCTCAGTTGTCTCAGAAGGCGGGGCACGTAACAGTGGGCTCAAGCTGCAGGAAGCCATACAGTATTTAGCCTGAACATCAGGAAAAACCTCTTAACTGTTAGAACAGTCCATTAATGGAACAAATTAACTTGGGAGATTGTGAGTGCTCCAGCACTGGAGGCATTCAAGAGAAAATTGGATTTTCTCTTTGATTTGGATTCCTGCATTGATCGAGGGGTTGGACCCAATGGCCTTCTAACTCAATTATTCTATGATTCTGTGATTCTATATCCGTGTTCATAATTTCATTTTTCATCATTCTTTAGATGAGTGAGGATATGTTGAAGTAAGGGCAATACAGTGTGGAAGGGAATGTTACTCTTGAATTGGCCTTCTCAGCCACACTAGACACTGTTCCAAGTCCTCTATTCAGAGCACGTTACCATAATCTCTTGAGACTGAAGGATGCCTAATCTAAATATCCATGTTACAATTAGATTTCAGAATGTTCCTTTCAGTGACACGGCCTAGACAATAAGTAGTCTATAATAAATGAGAGTTGGGAATTGTGCTTTGATAATATGAGTAGTTTTTGACTTGTATTTCTGGCTTCCTGTAGAAGACCTGATGGAATACTTTTTTTTCTTCCTTTGCAGGTATTGGATATGCAACCCAGGTTATTGAGGCACATTTGAATGTTTACTATATCATCATTTTAGCATGGGCTATCTTTTATCTGTTCAACTGCTTTACCACTGAGCTTCCTTGGGCAACCTGTGGGCATGAATGGAATACAGGTATGGAGATAGTGAAGATAACAGTTTTTTTTTTAAAAAAAAACAAGGTATTATATTATTAGTAGAGCAACAGAGGTATCTCAGTAAGTATTTAGTCAAACAATATGATAGTGGAAATTAGCTTAGTTTACATTTGTGGCAAAGAGTAGCAAAAAGTACAGATGACCAATTGCAGTATATAGTACTTCAACCTGTATCTTGGCCAGAATCCATTTGATAGTGCAAGCTAGAATATAACCATTGAATCAACAGAATATACGTGTAAATTTATGTATGTTCAGATTGATTCAGCAGCTGGAATTCTATTAAATATTTATGCCAGCATAATTCTGATGGCATACATTTTAGTGGTGAATTGCTGTTAGTTAAGGAATAGGTATTTGAATTTGCTCTTATGGGCCAAGTCACACAACTGGTGTGTGATAGAAAGTACAACTGCCAATTTCTTAACTAGCAGCAGTTTGCTCCTGAGATTTATGCTTTGGACCAAATGCTGGGAGACAGAAATAATAGGATTCTGGTCAGCTTGTTTACTCTACTTGGAATTAATAGTTTTAAAAAGGATAAATCCAACTGAGCTATGTTCCACACTGCAACATAACTCTATGGGTTGAACATTGTTTTATTTATTTATTTGACAAACTTGTATCTTTGCTACATTATTTAAGAAACCATCTAAGCCCATTAAAATATAAGACAATTTGTCAACTGTGAAGGCAATATTAAATATGGCTTTTTATTATATATGGATTGACTCCCATAAACCTTTGGATAATTAGATTTTGTATGTGGAACTAGTGTGAATGAAAAAAAAAATCCCACACCAATCCTTGGACTCAAAAAGTTTGCACATGCTTCCTTTTAAAGAAGTATCCAGGAAGAGGAGAGGAAGAGACTGTTGTTTTCTTCTCGTAGCACTCATTGTATCTAACGGAGTGTCATTCTTGTGCTTAGAGACAGCTTTATGAGCAGTGCAGGGGGGGGGGGAGCAATGAAAAAACCCTGTGCTTCTGCAAAAGAACCCATGCAATTCTTTGCCAAATGCTAGCTCTCTTATGGTGTAAAATACTAAGAAAAAATAAAGAGACTGTCTCTTTCATCTATAACCGTGGTCCCCAATGTTGGGTTCCCAGATGCTGTATAACTCCTAGAAATCTTGGTCAGCACACCTAGTAGTGAAGCCTTCTGGGAGTTTTAGTCCAAGAATTTCTGTGGACCAAAGGTTGGCAACCTCTCATCTAGAACATTGAAGATCATAATTGAATTGTTATAGTAATCGTGAAAGGGATATTGGCATATCTTAAATGAAAAGTGAAATCATCCTTCATATGATTTCTGTAGCCCTGTTTTAGTAAGAACTGTAATCGTTAGTCTTGATTTCATTGGAGAACTCATATGTGTGTATGCGTGTTATTCAGTCCTATATGTTTGAGTATATTAAACGTCTTGCATTGAGCCAGAGTTTATGGAGGAGGGTTAGCTTAATTTTTGGCATCTGTTTAGGAAAACTTAGCCAATATTGAACACTGTCCAAGCAGTATGTGTCAACTGAATACTGGGAATGGCTTTGATCTCTTTTCTCTGTTTCTCAGATGCCAAAGATAACACTGTGCCAAATGGTAGCTTTCTCACTTGCCATATTAAGACTATTGTTTAAGTTGCTGTGGTTTGAGAGTGATTCCCATGCCAGTGATAGGCACTGATGGAAACTGAACTGCAGTCACCCGGTTAAAGCACAATGCTTGTTCTAAATCCCTAGCAATCATAGCAACACGAAGTCTGTTTATACTGCTTCAGATACTAGGATGGCTCTTAGCAGATTTAACAAACAAAAAGTATTTAAAGATCGTCTTTCTAGGGAGAACCTGTATGAATCAGTTATCAAAAGTATGTGGCAGAACTTTGTTTTTAAATCTGAAAAGACTAATCATAATAAATTCAAAGGGACCTGAAAGATTAAGACCACGGTCACAGCAAATCTGTTCTTGTTCTTTTACAGAGCGCTGTGTGGAATTTCAAAAGCTTAACATGAGCAACTGCACTCAACAATATTTGCAGAATGCTACTTCTCCAGTTATGGAGTTTTGGGAGTAAGTAAAACTAATTTTTTTATACTAAATTAACTGGACATAACTTCTCATTTGCCATCATTCAGATAAATCAAAAACACTTGCAGATACTGATTTCTGGAGTATTTCTCACTGCAGGTATTTCAAAATATTGAGAGTGAGCAGTGGAGTTAAATTTCAAGCTGGGATTAGTATAACCATTAAAGTTGTCTTTCCTGAACCCACAAAAAATTCCACTGCTAACCCGGAATGGAACCAACCCATTATAATCCAGAATATAGTGATGCCTTGCTTAGCGATTGCCTCGTTTAATGATGTATTCGCTTAGTGATGAGGTTTTTGGAGCGGTCCTGCGCTCCGTTTAGCGATGTTTCCTATGGGGAAATTTTGCATAGCAATGTTCAGGACCTTGCTTCGCTTAGCAATGATAGTTTAGGTCCCCCTGCTTCGCTTAGCTGTCAAACCTACAGTTCAATGCATTCCAATGGGTGGGGGAAAATTCACCAAAAATTAACGAAGACTCAGAACAAAACCAAATTAAGTTTGCAAAGGTTTTACAGGGTGCACTAATGATTCAAAGCATTTTAAACAGTTTTTGAACATTTTACGATACTTTAAAAATAGCGAAAACAGACCGGTCAAAACCATTGAAATACATTGAAACCTATTCAATGCATTCCAATGGGGGAACCGCGTTTTGCTTGGTGATGTTTCCTATGGCGATTTTCGCTTAAGGACGGTAATCCGTTCCCATTGGAATGGATTATCCAGTTTTCAATGCATTCCTATGGGAAGTGGTGTTTCACTTAGCAATGTTTTCCCATAGCGATGTTTTTTTTGGAACCAATTAACATCGCTAAGCGAGGCACCACTGTATGCCACTTCAGCGTTTTGGCATTGTGGCTCACCAAAAATTATTGTAGGGTATATTTTGTTCTAATTTATTACATTGGCTGGGATAAAAAATATTCAAATGGAAAAAGTAAAGAAATACTTTGGGACTTTTTATTTTATTTTATCATAGCCTTTTTTGTCTATGATTAAATGAAAAACAAAACGATATTGCTGTACATAGTAAGTAACTAAAATTGTCTGCCTCATGGTTCCAGTTCTCTGTGAATTTTCCAACAAGTTGTGATTCTGGGAGACTGAAATGTCCTGCCCAAGTGAGTGAAGTTTAAAAAATTTGGAACAAACAGAAGTGACAAGATTGCAGACTCTGGCTACGTCAGAACTCTTGACTGAACCTGTTTTCATACATAGTCCAGAAAGGTGGTAAAGAGAACTATTTGGTTCCAGTAATAAAAAAAAAATTGCCTTTGCTTTAAAAATAAGTGTATGCAAGTCCATGCTACCATTTGATTGTGTTTGCAGATTTTCATAAATAATTGCTTTTAAAAAATTCTGGCTTTTGGTGAAGGAGCTAATGTGTCAGTGAATGATGGTTCATTGCTTCTACTAGGCTCCTCTAGCAAACTGTGGACTTTCCATTCCTGTTCTGCTTGCCATTGGCTGAAATCCTGTTGTGCAACTTTGTTCTGCACAGCAAGGGTGATGTCATCAACCATCAGCAGAAAAAAAAATTAATGTAATTTAATTATTTTAAACGTCCTGTTCTCCACTTGAGGTTCTGAGACTCCCTAGGGATTTGGTGGTGATTTTCTGATATGAAAGATTCTCCACCCAATCTTGAGGCTCCCAAAAGCTTTGTGAAGATAGAAAGGATCCACAACCTCAGAATGTGGAGGCAGAAGATAGAAAGTTTTAGAATAAATTAAATGAAATCAAACATTTCTGGCAAGAAGCAAAAATAAAGGGAAAAATCCCAGGAAACAGAAAAGTTGTGGCACCTGAAAAACTAATTGCTATATTTCAACATGAGCTTTCATGGATCAGGTCACCTTCCTCAGACAAGTGGACTTGATCCTCAAAAGCTCATGTTAAAATATAGCAGTCAGTCCTGAAGGTGCCATGATGTTTCCGTTTCTTATTTCTCCTTCTTTTCTATTACGTCTTATATGGCTATTTCCTAGAAAAGTAAACATTTTCGTTGCCGACTGATGGCATCATCCTTGTGTGGTGTAAAGTTACACCAGTTGGATTTCTGTGACTATGTGTAAGTGTGTTCTAGCAAATCATTCCCCTGACAGAGCAAGCCATGGTTTGTTGTTAAGTGGTGACTCTGATTTGTCAGAGGACAGAAATGTCCGAATTCCTGATTATTACATAACAATAGACAGACCATGAGCCTGTGGTTTGTTTAGCTGCAGGAGTGCTTTGCCATTGTGTATGAGCGTAGTGTTCACAACTGATAAGCCATGGCACCCCAGCTAATCAAGTGCATCTGAACCGGTGTGTGTGTGTGTGTGTGTGTGTGTAGGGGAGGAGAGATCAATTAGCTCAAATACCCTTAACCTGGAATATGGACCGTTCATTTATTTCATTTCTATGTTGCCTTTATATATGTATAGGAATCAATGTGGCTCACAAATTATTAAAAGATACAACTACTTGGGGCAAATTACCTTTGCATAAAATTACATGGTGGGCACTGGATTATGTAATCATTTGGTGCTGGTAATATTTAATTTAAACTATTTAATTTAATTCTAATTAAAATATTTAATTAGAAGCTTCTATAGCTTCTAAAGCTTTTAGGTTTAGAGACTCCCTAGGGCTCCCTTTTGCCCTGGAAGGCTTGCCACCACCCCCCCCAGCGGGGGTCCCTTGAACATCTGAGTGATTACAGGTAGAGGGAGGTATGGTGATGGCACAGTTCCTACTCATTTCAGAAGAACTGTGAACAGATGTTTGAGGGCTGTTCACTGTTCTGGCACTGTGACCAACCATCAGTCTTGAGGTAGTCAGATCAGCTGTCCCTCCACTAATCTGGTGCTGTTGAATGTCAGGTCTGTATCCAACAAATCCCAGATTATCTAAGACCTTATTCTGGACGAGGATGCAGACCTGGCATGCATAACCGAAACTTGGATGGGCGGGGGATGGGGTGTTCCCTTGACTCTGGCCTGTCCTCCTGGTTATGCAGTCCAGCACCGGGGTAGGGGGAGGGAAGTAGCCATTGTTTATAAAATCACTCTGGAGGTTGTTAGGTGCTCTACAGTGGTGAAGCCAGGTCTGGAGGCCCTCCATGTGTCTATTGGGCCCAGTGATGGTATTTTATTTATTTATTTATTTATTTATTTATTTATTTATTTATTTATTTATTTATTTATTTATTTATTTATTTATTTATTTATTTATTTATTTT